ATTCAGCTCAGCTCCAACAATGAACTGTTCCAATTATACACTTATTTTCGCATATAGCTATGAGAAACGTTAAACATGGATGCGTGTGTAGTTGCCATACTGTATTAAAGCTTTAATCAGGATAAAACCGTATATTAAAAGCCATTAACACATGTTAGACTGCACCCCATAAACACAATCAAGCCTAGAAAAAAAACACTGAACCACCCCTTTAAATGTTTCTTCTTTTAAATGCAAACTGAATATATTCATGCAGCTAGCTATAAATATGTCCTGGTCCTTGTTTTGAGACCTCATTTTAATCTGTCTTCTGACTTAGACTGGCCGCTTATGTAAAAATCCCTGCAAACATCACGATTTATATGCGGTTTATAGAGTCATAGGCAGAAAACTGTCATTTGTTAAAAGTAGGAGATGATGTGTGGCCCCTTTCCTGCTTGGGTAAGCCAGGGGTTTGCTTTTATATCCTGCAGCTGGTGAGCTCTTAGCTGCGATTACAGGAGGGAGAGACAATTAAATGCCTGTCGATGACTCTAGAGATAAAAAGAGTCATCAATGTGGATTCCAAAACTTCAAATTTTCACTAAATGTTTGTCATTATATGTGTTCACCTGTCTACAGGAGTCTTCAGCAGCTCCTGGAGTATGAGGGCGATGTGGAGGAGACCTTCTGTCTGAACTTTGCAGTAAGTTGCTGGACACTAAAGTAAATATGACCCCTCTAATTCGGCCACGTTTGTCTGATTAGAAGAATATCACTGATCACTATAAATGATATTATGAAGAAATTCCCAAGTCAGTGCTTTAGTAAATAAATTAAACTGAACTTATCCTTGATATCACTCACATGCTGCCAAGACGGTTATTTGATGTGTGAGCTTTGACATCTGGAAGATGAAGAGCGTTTGCTCATTTGCCATGTGTCCCGTCAGTGTTTCCTGTTGGATGATGGAACGACATTCAGCAGATGTTTTTTGGTTTATGATGTAGAATTAGGGAAGTGCGATAAAAATAAAACATTTATATCTCAGTATTTTCCAAGCTTTTAACAATTAATGAAGTTGCTATTTTTATTATAATTTTATATTAAAATAAAAAATAATGTAAGAACTTTAAAAAGTTAGACTTTTCACTAAATTAATATTTACTGATATTTAATCATATGTAACAATATAACAACGCAACATGTATATTTAATCAATTATGTTATATTTAGTAATAACATTTTATTTCATAATGTAAACTAGAACTGATTTGTATCTAATAGGACTTTCCAAATCAGTGTTTTATTGTTAACTAAAACTAAAACTGTGAAAAATTGTTTGTGGTAATTGAAGAAAGAAATGAATTAATACAATTACAAATATTAATTAAATATACAACTTACACTTAAAAAAAATAGAAATTAATGAAAATTAGACATGTTGACTTGGTAAATAACTGAAGTACTAAAATGAATTGAAATAAAAATAAATTAAAGCTAAATAAACACATTTTGACCAAAACAGAATGACTAAAATTTAAACTTAAATTGAAGTGAAAATTGATAATATAAAAATAAAAGCAAATTCAAAATATTAATAAATAATATAATAGATTATATATATATATATATATATATATATAGTATAAAAATACTAAAACACTTTCCAAGTGTGTCGCTAATTTTATGAGTTTTAAACAAGGACCTATTAAAATATATCCATCTTAACACTCTCATACTCTCATATGTCATAGAGATGAGTGAACATTGGTTTAGTGAAACTTAACTGTTCAAAATAGTACTCTAATATTGCTGCGATATTCACAATGTTGCTTCATTTAAAGAGATAGTTCACCCAAAAATGAAAATTTCATTATGTTCCAAACATGTATGAATTTCTTTCTTCCGCTGAGCACAAATTTAGATATTTGGAAAGATGCTGGTAACCAAAGAGTTGCTGGTAGCCATTGACTTTCATTGTATTTTTTTTTTCTTCCATACTATGGAAGTCAGTGGCTACCAGCAGCTGTTTGGTTACCAACATCCTTCCAAATATCTTAATCCAAATATTTTAATCCATACAGGTTTGGAACTATGTGAGGGGAGATTAAATTATGTCAGAATTTAGATTTTTTTCTTTGAAAAAGAAACTATCCCTTTAATCGCATTAACAAAATTTTTGCATATATGCTGTAAATATTCTATATATCGCCCCACCCTGTTTAGAATGTGAGTCTGCTCTTTTTAAGATGTTTATCAAATATTTGTGCA